ACACACACACACAGACTCACACACACACACACACAGACTCACACAGACAGACTCACACACACACACAGACTCACACAGACTCACACACACTCACACTCACACAGACACACACACACAGACTCACACACACACAGACTCACACACACATGCAGGGTGGGCTGGATAAGGTGAGTCTACACACTCACACACACAGACTCACACACACACTCACACAGACTCACAGACACACACAGACTCACACACACACAGACTCACACACACATGCAGGGTGGGCTGGATAAGTTGAGTCTACACACACACACAGACTCACACACAACAACAACAACAACCGCCATTCGCCACTAAGTGGCGGTGACGTCACCACGACGCTTGTGCCAGGCTATGTGCACCCTGAGGCCACGTGAAGTGTCGAACGCCCGCTGGCAGGAGGTCACGGGGCAGACCCAGGTGCCACGGGTCGACTGACTGAGATGACTGGCTGATGCACCACCTGTGCCCCCTACTGTGCCAACCTGCTGTGCTTTAGCCACCCGGCGCTCCGCTCGCTGTTGTGAGCGTCGCTCCTCCGCCCTCCGTTGTTGTTGGAGGGCGACTGCCTCCAACTGCCCAGTAGCATCCTTCACGAGCCTCCTCCACAGAGGCCGATCTTGACACCGCTGGTACCAGTCATCGGCAAGTCCACTCAGCTCCACGTCCTCCTGCACCACATCACTCCATCTCTTCTCTAGCCCGTGCCGCGCCCGCTTAGCCCCCTCAATCCGGCCAAACAAAAGCTGTTTCGGCATGCGGTGGCTGGGCATGCGGGCTACATGACCCAGCCATCGCAGCCTTGCCTGCCGGAGGAGCTCACCGATGGGACCCTGCCCAGATCTTTCAAGGATTTGTGAGCTCCTCACACAATCCAGTCTGGTTAAACCCAGGATGGATCGTAGGCAGGTCAGCCTAAATGTTTCTAACCGGCGAAGATGTTCCATTAGGGGGGTCCACGTTTCGCAAGCGTAGAGAAGGGAGGGAATGATCGTGGCCGAGAAGACCTGAAGCTTAGTGCGGAGCGACAGACCAGGTAGCTTCCACACAGCGTTACGCAACCGATGAAAAGATATTGCCGTTCGACTGATTCGGAGTGAGACCTCTGCTGTTAAACTGGAGCCGGTCATAAGCACACTGCCCAGGTATGGGAAACTCTCCACTCTCTCCACAACTGCCCCATCACCGATTGGGAGTTGTGGGGGTGGAGTGTCCGATGGTACAAAATACCCAGGCAGGTGCTTAGTTTTGGTGGGGCTGATGGTAAGGCCCCACTTCTTAGTGGCACGCTCCAGTCTCAGCAGCAGCGTCTCCAACTCCTCCTCTGACTGAGCAGCTATTACCAAGTCATCAGCATACATAACGTGGTTGAGCAATAGGGAGCCATCCCTTGACCGCACCCGGGCATCGATTAGCCTCCCATTATATCTGTACCATATGGAGATTCCCCCAGTACAGCTATTGAAGGCTTCACGAACTACGTGGTCAAAATAGATGTTAAATAATGTGGGAGCCAGAGGACATCCCTGTCGCACCCCAAGGTGTACAGGGAATGGCTCTGACTCCCGGCCACGTAGTTTTACCCGGGCCCGCTCACCATCATGAAGGTCCTTAATGATCGTGAGCAGAGGGTCAGGTACTCCAAAAGCACGAAGAACGACCCAGAGCCCAGGCCTACTGATGGTATCATAGGCCTTGACCAGGTCAATAAAGCAGAGATGTAGGTCTTGTTGGAATTCCCTACACCTCTGCTGTAGCAGACGGACAGAAAATATGGCATCTGTGCCGGACCGCCCTTTCCTGAAACCGCATTGGGGCTCCGCAAGCCTCTCCTCAGCGTGCCTGGCAAGGCGATGCTGAATAATCCTTGCCAGGACCTTTCCCGGCACACTGAGGAGTGAGATGCCCCTGTAGTTGTTACAGTCTGTGCGGTCCCCCTTCTTAAAAAGGGGGACCACCAGGGCATCCTTCCAATCCTGCGGAACCCGTCCAGTGGTCCAGACTGTTGTTATGATGTCATATAGGGCAGTCTGTGCACAAACGCCACCCTCCCTCAGCATTTCGCTTGGGAGATCATCTCTGCCCGCTGCCTTTCCTGGTCTCAGACTCCGGATCGCCTTCAATACTTCCTCAGCAGATGGCACCTCAGCCAGCTACTCACAGGGGGTGACTTCATCCAATATTTGAGGCACCGCAGCCTCAGCAGGGTCATCCTCACTTTGTGCCACGATGTTTTCCTGGCTGAGGGATTTTCCCTCCCCCAGGACCTCACAGAAATGCTCAGCAAATCTGCGAACCTGTTCCTGGGGGTCGGAAATTGGATCACCGTTTTTTCCCCTAATGATGGTAATAGGTGTGGCGCTGCAGGTTACTTTTTTGATGGAGTTAAATAGAGATTTGTGATCACGGGCCACTGAGGCAGACTCCATCTCCTCAGCAACCCGCGACCACCACCCATCCTTGCAGCGCCTCA